AAGTAGGTTCATCCCTGGGATGCAGGGATGGTTCAATATATGCAAATCAATAAATGTAATATACTATATTAACAGAGCCAAGGACTAAAACCATATGATCATATCATTAGACGCAGAAAAAGTGTTCAACAAAATCCAACATGAATTTTTGATAAAAACCCTACAAAGGGCCAGGGATTTAGTTCAGTGATGCCTCCACCTGCCTCACAAGCACAAGGACCCGAGTTCGATTCCCAGCACCAAAAATAAACCTACAAAAAGTTGGAATAGACAGTTTCTACCTCAACTTGATAAAATCCATCTATGATAAACCAACAACCAATATCATATTAAATGGTTAAAAACTAAAATCTTTCACATTAAAATCAGGAACAAGACAAGGATGTCCACTATCACCACTCCTATTAAATATAGTTTTGGAAGCATTAGTCATAGCAATTAGATAAGAGAAAGAAATAAAAGGAATAAAAATAGGAAATGAATTCAAATTGTCATTATTTGCAAACAACATTATACTCTATATAGAAAACCCCAAGAACTCCAAAAGTCTTCTAGATTTAACCAACTTAGAGTAGAGTAGAGTAGCTGGATACAAGGTCAACACACAGAAATCAATAGCCTTTCTGTACAGGAATAAGAGACTCACTGAAAAAGGAACTGTAAAAACAACTCCCTTCATAATAGTATCTAAAAAGAAAAAAATGAAATACCTAGGAATCAACCCAATAAAGGAAACCAAAGACCTCTACTTTGAAAACTATAGCACTCTCAAAAAAGAGATTGAAGAGGATATTAGAAATGGAAAGACATCCATTGCTCCTTTGGTAAGAACCAATATAGCGAAAATGGCCATACTTCCAAAACTGCTATACATATTCAATGCAATCCTAATTGAAATTCCAGCAGCATACAACACAGAGCTTGAGAAAACAATCCAAAAATTCATTTGGACCAGAGGAGACCTAGAATAGCAAATTACTTTTAGGCAACAAAGACAAGATAGGTGATATCACAATTCCCAATTTAAAACTATAGTACAAAGCTACTGTGATAAAAACAGCATGGTACTGGCAAAGAAACAGATCTAAGGATCAATGGAACCAATTAGAAGACACAGAAACAACTCCAGAGACACTCAGCCACCTCATCTTCAACAAACAATCCAAACATCCCAGTAGCTGAAAGTGAAGAAATGGAGATACATGAACTTTCTGACAAAGAATTCAAGAACTTTAAAGAACTACAAGCAAATAAAGATAAATAATTTCCTGTAATCAGAAAAATAATAAATAACCAAAATTTTAAAATGTAACAAAGATGAAAATTTTTGTTAAAATATCAATCAGATATTCTGGAGCTGCAAAGACAATGGATAAAATTTTTAAATGCAATAGAAAACATAACAAGCATACCTCATTAAAGAGAACAATCTCTAAAAGATGGGTTATCTGAAAATATATAATTAAGAAAAAATGTAAATGAATGAAGAAAGCTTATGGAATTTAAGAGGTAGCATCAAAAACAAATATTCCATTTATACCATTTATAAAAGAGAAAAGAGATACAAAGTGGTAAAAATCTTATTTAAAAGTAGTAGAATTCTAAAACTATACAGATATGAATGAGTATACATATGTACATATATGAGTGTATATATATGGATATATATTATATATGAATAAATATATATGAATGACATGTAAGTTTCCAATCATATTCAACCTAAAGAAGACCACACCAAAACATAAATTATCAGAAATCAAAAGAGAAATGACTCATATCACAATACAAATGTCAAATATCAAAGATAAAGAAAAGCAGTAAAAGAGTTAGGTGTGGTGACACATGCCTGTAATCTCAGCAATGGTGAGGCTGAAATACTAAAATTGACACAAGTTTGAAGCCTACCTGAACTACAGGATGAGTTAAAGGCCAGCCAGAAACACACACACACACACACACACACACACACACACACACACACACACACACACACTCACGCATGTGCACGTGCTTAATAGAAAGCAGGCAAATAACACACTAAGCAGTCCCCATGAGGCCAGCCTTGCACTCACAATAAAAACATTACAGACCAAGAAGGAGTGGGATGATACATTCAAAGTACTGAAAGAAAAGGACTGGCAACCAAGAACACTGTACACAATAAAGCTGTCCTAAATGTATTAACTATTGTTAATCTATTATTATTTTTTATAAAATTTAATATTTTTCAAAACATGAAAAAAGTACAAAATCTGAAAAAATAAATAAAAAATAAAAGGTAAGCTCCACAAACATGAAAGAAAGGAAAGAGAAGGATTTTTCTCAGACAGATAATACATAAGGAAAATCAGTACTACAAATGAATCCTATAAGAAATGCTAAAGGAAATTCATCAAGCTGCAAGAAAAGGACACTAATGAGTAACACAAAACCATATGAAAGGATAAAATTTGCTGGTAGAAGTAAATATACAAATTCAAAATATTCTAACACCACAGTGGAGATAATGAAACCACTTGTATCATTCAAATCTTTAGAAAAAAGTTTTTAAAAATCTATTAAAATAATAGCTGCAGTCATTTCTTAAGAAATACACAATACAAAAATTTGTAAATTGCAACACAAAATAAAATGAAGGTGAGTAAAGTGTAGTTTTGGGGAATGATCAAAGTTAAATTGTATTATTCAGCTTCAAGTTACTATAGCAAAATACTTGAGATAATTAACTTTTTAAGAGAAAAGTTTTATTTAGCTCCATAATATATGGCTCAATGAAATTTAGCTCCAAGGTTTTTAGCTCCAGGATCCAGTATAAGACTAGGGAGCTTCAGGTCGTTGGGCCTCTGTTAAGAGCAAAAGACAGAAATGGTGGGAGCACATGTCAGAGCAAACTGCTCACCTCATGAGTTAGGAAGCAGAGAGGGAGACAACAGGCTCCGGCATGAGAGAGCCTGCCTCCTCTGACCTACTTACCTCTCACTAGGCTCCACCTCAAAACAGTCAACAACACAGTCCACATTACTGCCAACCTGGGGACTAAGCATTTCACACATAGGTCTTCATGGTACACTACCCATATTCAAACCATAGCAGTTGTTGACAGTTTAATTATATTGTTATAAATATAAGATGTTTAAGAATAAAGATGGTAACCAAAAGCAAAAACCTACAATACACAAACAATAAGAAATAATCACAATATGCCACCAAAAAAATTACATAACCACAAAAAACACAGCAAGAGGAAAGAAAGGAACAAAAGATACATAAAACAACCAGAAAATAATCAACAAAATGGCACTAATAAATTATTATCTAGCTCATAATTACCTTTAATCTAAATAGATTTAATTCTCCAATCAAAACCTGCCATGATGAACGGCTATATGCCGCCTATAAGAAACTCACTTTATGTATAAAGATAAACACAGATTACAGGGGAAGGACTAGAGAAAGATATTCTACACAAATGGAAATGAAGAGCAGGGGCATTTATATTAGTGAAAGAGACTTTAAATAAAAGCTGCAAAACAATATAAAGACAGTCATTATATAGTGATGATGGGCTCAATTCATGAAAAAGATGTATCATATGAAAATGATATATAAGGACCCAACATAGGAGGACTTGATATAAAGAAAATGTTGGTAGATATGAAAGAGAGCTAAACTATAATACAATGACAGTAGAGGACTTTAATATGTCACTTTTAGCAACGGCCAGATCATCCAGTCATAAGATACTTAAGAAAACATCACTCTTACACATGTGTAAATACCAAATAGTTTCTTTTGTGTGGAAAAACTAGAAGTATAAATCAAGATCAAAATTATGTAATTGATATTATGTAACAGGAAAAAACGTTCTAAAGGAGTAGGGGAAGTGGGAGAGGTAGGAAAAAAGTAAGAAGGGAAAAGAAAAAATTTGAAAAAAGACAAAAAATGGAAACAAAGTCTTTGTAAATAAGGAAAGATGGAGCAGGTGAAGGGAGGTCAGGGGAACAGGGTAAAAGTAAGAACCAAGATCTGTCATGTAAGGGTACAAGATCCCCATGATGAATGTAACTGTACTGTATACCTAAAATGTACCAATAAACTTAATGGGAAGAAAAAAAAGAAAACATAACACTTGAACTACACTTTAGACCAAATGGACTGGAAAGATAGATAAAAGACAATCCATCAACATCAGCAGAATATTGCATTTTCCTCAAACCACAGAATATTCTCCAGAACAGATCACGTATGTTAGGCCACAGAGCAAGTCCTCACAAATTTAAGAAGATTAAATTTATACCAATATCTCTTCTGACCACAGTAGTATGAAACTAGAAACCAGTAACAGGAGGAATTTCAAAAAACAATAAAATACATGAAAGTTAAACAACATGCTCCTGAACAACCTGGGCCAAAAAAGGAGAAATTTAAAACAAGCATGGAAATGCAAGCCTTACATGATACCACAAAAGCAGTTCTAAAATAAAATTTATATCACTAAATGCTTACACCAAAAAGAAACAAAAGATCTCAAATTATTATTAAAACTCAAAGATCTAGAGAAAGAAAAAAAAAAAACTAAGCCCAAAGTTAGTAACAGAAAGAAAATGATAAAGATCAGGGAAAAAAAAACAAAACACTAGAAACACAATAGAAAATATTAATAAAACAAGAATATTGTAAAAAACAAGAAAAAGAAAGCTCAACAAAATTAGAAATGAAAGAGACATTTAAACTACACAGCAGAAATACAAATAAAAGACTATTATAAAAAATTATTCACCAATATATAAGCTAGACTGGAAGAAATGGATAAATTCCTAAACACATACAAATCTACCAAAAAAGCACAGTCTAACCTACATTGTGATTTTATATTTATACCAAAGTCAACTCCTTCCTAACGTGTATCTTTATCTTATCTAGAATCTGAAAATTCCTATTATACAAATTATTAAAACTGTTAATAATTGGGTACATCAAAAATATCCCAACCCTACCTCTTTTTCATGCATTCGAGAGAGAAAATGATCATCATGAAGACTGCTGGATTTTCTCAAGCTGAATTTGGGAGTCATCTGCAGAATGAATAAGAATTATTTATTTAGTATTTTTTCAGGTCAGGTTCATCCTAAAGCCAAAAGTAGACTTCCAAAATGGCTAAAACCATACTAAAATACTATTAACAATGGCTTGGGGGGGTAATTTATTCACTTCCAAGTGACAGGTTTAAAAACGATTATACTCCATAAAATGTGGATCCACATTATTTTCTATAAAAATGTTGATGCTTATTTGATTAAAAAAAAAAAACAAAAAACTTGTCCTACCTACCAGAGAAGTTGGGATAGGCGTCTGTCTCAGGTACCGGGGATTTTCTATCTGAAAATTTAAAAATAAAGACTTAATAAGTTTGGAGTTTTAATTCTTTAACAAAACATATAAACTATAATATTATACATATAAAGTATATATGTACATATGAATAATGTACTGTTATATTTATTAGTATTGGTAGTATTACTTTAACATATTTAATATTAATAGTATATTACATTATGTAATATAAAGTAAGCTGCTACAAGAAAACATTTTCTGTATGTTTTAATATTTAGTTCATTTTTAGGATGATTATTATATAAAACATTTTAATGTCCTAATAAATATAAAACATACATACTTTTACATGTATAAATGCAACGTTATGACCATCCTTTCCCTGCCTAACTTGTTTTATTTTCCATTACTCATCATCTCACATTTCATACTTCTAAAATCCTGCATGATTTGTAATTACTAGAACATGATGGGTCTTCTTATGCCTCTCTGTCTCTGTAAAGTTCTTTGTCCATTCCTCCAAACTCTATAATCATACACTTATTCTATTCTTCAAGTCTCAGTTTAATGATTACACTCCAAGGTATAAGAGATTCTTTTTTTTTTCCAAGTTTATTGGTACAGTTAAAGCAAACAATAGTTACATTTATCATTGGGATCTTGTATCTTTACATGATATGTCTTGGTTCTTATTTTTCCCCATACCCCTGCCCTCCCTTCACCCCCTTCACCCTTCCCTATTTACAGACTTTGCTTCCATTTTTTTCCTATTTTCACATTTTTTCTTTTCCCTTATTTCCTTTCCCCTCCCCTTCCCACTTCCCCTTTAGCCATTTTCTTCTTATTTCATACTTTCAATTATACCATTTGAACCTTATTTACACTGTTAGTTTTTCATACCAGAGAAACTATTTGGTATTTACTCAAGTGTGTCCTATTTATTTCACTTAAGAGTGTAGCCTCAATGTGCATCCATTTAGCTATAAATGTCTCTAGTTTCTCATTCTTTATGGCTGAGTAGTACTCCATTTTGTAGAAAATGCACATCTTTATCCAGTCTCCAGCTGATGGGCATTTGGGCTGTTTCCAAGTTTTAATTATTACAAACTGTGCCACTGTAAACATGGGTGCATATATATCAGTGTGGTATGACAGTTAGTTCTTTTGGAAAGATACCCAGCAGAGGGATAGCTGGGTCAAATGGAACCTCTAATCCTAGTTCTTGAATTCTTAAATACATCACCCTAAAAGCAATGAGAAGGTAAAATTCCTTGGAAGACTCCCCTACATCTACCTTTTCAGCTTCATTCCCCAAATATTTCCTACATTCCAAGGAATCTGAACAACTTGTTTTACCTTGGAAACATATACTTTGCCCCATATCTGACTCTTTGGAAACTATGAAATCCTTCTCCTATCTTCTTCCCATAATTAACCCATCCAAGATCCAATAATGACAAATGATCTTTCCCAGGAAACTTAGTTCCTACCGCAACTGGATGCTTACTCCCTTCTATGGTCTAACATCTATCTTCTCCAAAAGTATTTGGATTCTGAAAACAAAACCATGACTGCCCTGGTTACCACTTTATCCTTAGGATCCACTACCATTTCTAAAAATACTCATTAGGAATAAATGAAAAGTAAAGATGAATGGCACAAGTGAGCAAAGGAGGAAGAAAGGAAGTAGCAAACCATATCTGACTGTATCCACTTACCAGCTCCTAAACTATCCTGTGTCCACTGGCTCATACTCCTCATACAATACTTTAAGTGTTTGTGTTTCCGCGTCTGCTTACAAAAATATTACAAGAATGATCTATTTCAAAAGTAAGCTAAAGGTGATGTCTTAATTTTTTGTATTTCTGTACATAGCACACAACATTTAATACATAGTATCCTTTCAAAGAAAGTTATTAAATCAGCATGCACTATATACTAGCTATACTGATTTTTATCCCAACTATTTCATTCACAGATAAAGTGGAAAAATTACCACAGAAGTCTAATTACCTTATATCATAAACTCATAACTTACTACGTTGATAATCACACAATATATATGCACACTAATTATGACTTCAACCAAGGGCAGTGGTTCTTACCAATGTATCATGGGGCTCCCCTCCTTCAAAGGCACATTTTGTTTTCAAAATGTTCCCCAAATAATGTGTTAAGTTTAATAATTGTGGACAATGAACAATCCATACTCAATTTGAAAATAAAAGTAAAAAAGAATAATTAAAGGTACAGAGGAAAGAAAGTTAAAACAGAATTTAATCAAGTAAAATGGAAAAGAATTGCAATAGATAGGATCTTAAGAATAAGTATATTTTAGCACTTAGATTAGGAGAAATTCCAAAATAATTTCTTTGACCTGAAGGTCAGATCCATGAAATAGATGGCAACTGTCTGAATTTATATTTATCTCCTCATCCTCCAATGACCCATAGAGAACAACTAAGAAACCAAATGCAAATGATGATCATCCATGCCCATATCTTACTGAGAAGAAAGAGAATACTGATTCCTTGATTAACACGTAAATGGCCAAGATAGCCCAAATTAACTAAACAAGATCTTCAGCAAAATCAGAGTGATACTATGAGGGGAAAGGAAGTTCCTATCTGGGGTGGTAAAACATAGATATCATCAAATACTGAGATATGAAAGAAAAGTGTTCTACCTTATGTAGTTCTCTCTCTCTCTCTCTCCTCTCTCTCTCTCTCCTGATAGATCAGAGAAATGAGGTACAGAGGACCTTTAAAAAGTGAAGAAGCAAAAAAAGTGGTTTTAGGAAGGAACCATTTCTGGGATACACACTGTAAGGAAGGTTGTCCATGAGAAAAGGGAAGAAAAAAGCAGCTGAAACAAAGCTTCTATAAAAACAAAACAGAATCAAAGAATCAAAAGTTGTAAACGGTGAGGGGAGGAGGGGTTGAAGGGAGGGCAGGGACAAGGGGAAAAAATGAGAACCAAGATCTGTCATGTAAAGGTACAAGATCCCAATGATGAATGTAACTGTACTGTATACCTAAAATGTACCAATAAACTCAATAAAAGAAAATAAAAATAAAAACCTGTTGGCAGAATGAAAAGCCACAAACAAGAGAAAAGAGTAACACATTTTCATTTTGATTCCCATGTGGCTAGGGTTCTCCTACATCAGATTCTGCACTCTACTTACTCACCTATAAACCAGTATTTCACAGTACTTTTGTTCCACAAATACTAGGACAATACATATTCAAATACAATGCTGAAATAACCAGAGATAAAGAATACTAAAGAATCAAACAAAAATAAATAGAAGCTAACCACGAAAAGTCAGACAAAAACCACCTAAGAAATTAAAACCAAGTTAAGAGTTATAAAAACAAAAATTGTTTCTAAAGATAACAAAAGAAGTAACAGCAAGGGATGCACAAGATAGGAACTGAAATTCAAACTAAAAATTGAAACAAAAAGTATGTATTTCAAAACATCAGAGAAAAATTCATTTTTAAAAGAGAAACAGAGGCCTGGGATTTAGCTCAGTGGTGCCACCTTCTGCCTCACAAGTGCAAGGACCCAAATTCGATCCCCTGGACCGGAAAAAAATAAATAAATTTTTTTAAAAAAATAGAGAAACAGAGAACAAAATTCCAAAAAATATTCAGTCAGATTTGCTAAATAAATTGAACACAAATAAATATTTAAACATTAAGAAAACATCTGTAAAATAAGTCTTGAATCACCATATTAAATATTTTCATTATTTAGAAAACTGACCCAGAACCATTCATCAACTCTAAACATATAAAATAGTAAGAACAAAACTCAATGTGATTCATTGAATATATTTCAAAGTATAATATAATGAAAAAACATTAAACTTTAAGGATGAATTTTTTTAAAGTTTCTCTGGACTCTAGTCAAGAAGAGTAAGAATTATAAGTAAAACAATAATAACAATAAAATACTTCTCAATTGTTACATATACTATGCAATGCAAGATAACAGTGAAACAATTTATTTAAGAAACTAAGGGAAAGAAAATTTGAACTATTTTGTATCTAATCTAGATCTTTTTCAACCAGAACCATAAAACACCATTTGAAATATGCAAGAACTGAGAAAATATTAAAAGGTCCATCCTGTGAAGTAAACTAGAGGATGAGCATTTTCTCTTAGTCAAAAGATTATCAAAGGGAGAAAAGGGATAATCAAGAAAACTTCAATCATGGGACTGATTTCCTGATTTAATATTATAACATCTACAAATTACTTTCAAATAGTTCTAATAAAGCAAAATTGAAACACTTAAAGTATACATTCATATAATTAACAAAACACACACTACATAAAAATTTAAAAGTAGCACATACATAAGTTGTTTTTGTACTATTCTTTTTTATTTGAAATTTTTTATAAAAATTATAAAAATAATATATTTATTACAACCCAAATTGATAATTACATTTTACTTCTGTGATGACAAACTTAGATGACAGTTTGTGATTACTGTTCAGCTTCAACATATGTTGGAAGAAAACTTTAAATAATATTAATTTTGAGGAAAGTAAAAGAGGATCATGTGGAATTTTTGTGTCAAGAAACTATAAAAACTTAAATTACCTGTATTTGGGATTTGCTAAAGAGAATCATTATACATGACTTTGAAGGCCTGGGGATTTAGCTCAGTGGTTCCACCACCTGCCTCACAAGCACAAGGTCCCTAGTTCAATCCCCAATACCAAAAACCAATACATGAATTTGAAATAATGTCAGCTACTTGATAGAATCCATGAATATTTTTAAAAGGAGAAAATGGTTTGTTATACTTAGAGAATAATGTAAAATTTATTTTATGAAGATTAGAATATAACAATCTCAGAAAAGTTTTGCAGGCTCAACACTCATTTTTCTACCTTATACAGATAAAGGTATGGTAGTTGAAAGAAGACAAAAAATCTAATAGGACATAGTTTGAGACCACGATGAAATAAATCAGACACAAAAACTTCAATCACTTATATAAGAAATTCAAATTATAAAGAGCAAAA